TATTATGATGTTGACGAAGAAATTCGGAGTACTAGCAAACTCTAGAGTCTCCCAAAGGAACTCTCAATCAATTCTATCATATTATTTTGTCAAGTCCACCTTGAGGAGCATAGTTCCTTTCTTATTCGCTTCCTTTGTCATGGAATGGAAAACTTCGTGCATAATAAGGATATTATCAGTGATTTGTCTTTTAGGAGCGAAACTAAATTGGTTTGGATGAACAATACGAGGCATCAGAGTCTTGAGTCTGTGAGCAATCATCTTAGCCATCACTTTGTAACCCACGTTACGAAGACTAATGAGTCTAAGCTAAATCATAGAGTTCGGTGCCTCTACTATAGGGATAAGGGTAAAGATGGATTCGTTTTAGGTCACCCAATTCTCCTTCCTTGCGTCGGTGATCCCGCTCTTAAACGCCAAAGCGCGATTTTTCTAGAATTCTCAAGAAATCCGCGAATTAATTTTATACAGAGCGTGATTTATTGTTTGGAGAGCGCTTACCATTGATATACAGTCCTTAGATTCCGATTCTCTTATCTCCTCCCACACCCGTCGCTGTTGTTGAAACTCAACGATTCTAGATGGCGGCGGATCTACTAGTGTAAATGGCGGCAGATCTACTTGAAGAGGATGAGCACTTGGCCATCATGCAGGATGGGAGTGGCAGAGGACTTGGTGGTCTTGGACTCTTGGTGATGGAATTGGAGTCGAGTAGCTTTGGATTGCTCATCCTCAGTTTCCACGACTGCGCGCCCACCGTAGTCGTCAATTGGTGAATGATTCAACTAGGAAATGAGGAGGCCGCAGAGATTCAAAGCGAGAGGCGTTGGGGAGATTGTGAATGGATGGATTTGGATGGAGCAAATTCTATTGGGAGTGATGTTAATTAGTGGATTAATTCCACAAATATTGTCTTTTTTTTTAAATTACCACCAATATGGTGGTTTAAAAACAATTGACGCATATATTGTATTTATTTGTAGGTTAACAGTGACAAAGCCCGAGACTCAGGCGCAGCCACTACTTATTGATTTTCCAATAAAAGTCAGTGGCGGCGCCCGAGACTGGGGCATTGCCGCTATTTATATGATCCCAGCGCCGGCGCCCGAGACATAGGCGTGGTCGCTGCCTCCCTCTTCCACTCCAGCACCATATATACTACTCCACCTTTCCTTATGTTCTTCACCACCAAAAAAATCAATGAAGTTACGAGAGAAGCTCCGGTGTTGATGTCTGGTTGCTGGGAAGATGGCTAATAATAGGTAAGAGAAGTATTTATTTTTTAATGTGTTCTTCAAATGCTATAATGATTTTGTTCAATTAGTAATTAGCGAGTTTATTTTTTATGTAGTGGTTTTAGAAGATTTGAACTAGCTGTTTGGTGGAAATCAGAGAAAGTAGAGGACAATTTGGGCATCCATTTCGTTGGTGGTAGAAGTTTTCAGTTGACTGTTCCATCCAGTACAAGATAGTGTTGTGATTATAGGTTTCACTTACTGTCTTCCAGAATGGCAGAATGCTGTTTTATTCCATTATGTGATGCCTATTGTGGATGATGATAGCTTGAATATGCTTTGGAATTTTATGGCACAAAACCCTTATTGTTTGGGTGTTGAGATACATGTTGATCTTAGTAAGGATCGGGGTGGAGGGAAGAAGAAGATGCTTTGGAATTTGATGGGGAATTCTACAAGGGGCAGATATTTCACTCCAAACAAGCTGCACAGGTGGCGATTGAACACTACGCACTACAACGCAACTTTGAGTATAACATGGTGGAGTCGTCACCTTCTATCTGGAAGATCATATGTTCAAAGCACAAGGATTACAATTTTCCTTGGATGATGCGGTTTGGATGTCGAGATGTGGGAGGCAAATGGACTGTGAGAAAGGCCGAGTTGGTGCATTATTGTAGCAGTACGACTCAACCGACGGATCATCGCCATCTTGATGTCGACGTTATATCTGAGTCCGTGAAACACTTGGTACGTGCCCAACCAAATCTGAGTGTTCTATCTGTGCAGGCCGAGATGAAAGATAAGCTTAATATGCAAGTTACTTACAAAAAGGCTTGGTATGGGAAACAAAGAGCATTGGAGAAGTTGCATGGGAATTGGGAAGAATCCTACAACTATTTGCAAACATTCTTGCGCGTGGTAAAGAGAAAGATGCCAACATCGGTGATTGATTGAGTAAGAGTTCCTTCAGGTCAACCAGGACATTCGATATTTCAGCGAGTATTTTGGGCTTATGGACCTTGTATAAATGGATTCAAGAATTATCCAGGAGTCATGGTTGTTGATGGAACATTTCTTACTGCAAAGTATAAAGGCGTGCTACTCATGGCGAGCTCATTTGATGGTCGGAAGAAGATTTTTTTCAATTGCATTTGCCATAGTGGAGAGCGAGAATACTGATAGTTGGCCATGGTTCATAAGTCACGTTCAAGGTTTGACCAATCGAAATGATGTATGCATCATTTCAGATAAACATGTGGGACTCTATGAAGCCATGAATAACATCGGAAGAGACTGCGAGTGGAGGTGGTGCATGCGACACTATGCAAGCAATTTGCAAAGGAAGACTAAAAGCGAGATTATGTATAAGCAACTATTTCGAGTCGGTAAGCCTTTTTCATTTAATTTTGTTATCTATTTTAATGTATTATTTATTTTCATGTAAATTTGTCATGAATCTATCTAAGTAGTGTGGTTGTTTATTTTGTTAGCCGGAGAAAAACGCTTGGAGAAATTTGATCGTCAAGTTGAACCATTTAAGAAGGTGGCCGCTGATAGAAATATTTCTTGTGATAACTAGGTGGACCAACATCAGATTCGTTGGAGCTTAGCACATGATAACTACAATGGTGGGCGTTGTTGGTCTACCATGACATCCAACATGGCAGAGAGCATCAATGGTGTTTTCAAAGGTATTCGTTCACTTCATGTAGCTTCTCTTGTGCAACATACCTATTGCGATTGTTGGAGAAATTCGATAAGATGAGGTTGGAGACAGAAGCACAAATTAGAAGTAGTCGTTCACAGTACTCCATCAAGTGCGAAGAGCTGATGAAGTCGTGGTCACAAAAGGCAGTTGGACATTCCGTGACAGCGGTTGATCGACGTCAAGGCATCTATGTAGTTCAGACTCCCCCCCAACAATTTCAACATGACGAGTTCAAATACACTCACAGTGCACTTCGACGACCGCAACCGAGCAGGATTTTGCACTTGTGGAAAATTTCAAGGAAATAACAACGAAAAGGCCTCGTGGGTGGGCGTCCTCGGTAAAAGGGGCCAATGGCAGAACCGTAAACAAGCCCGCATCGACGAGAAACGGCTGTTAAAGTGGATGGTATCTGACTAAATTGCTCGTACCTCGAATGTGGTAAGGTCGATCACCAACCTATAGTGCACAAAACTTATATTAATTCAATTCAATGCGTACTTCTAAATTCACTTCACCTAATATTTATATTTATATATCTAATCTAAACTTATTCTAATTCTATTCGTAATTTAATTCTATTCTAATTTCAGTTCAGTTCAGCTAATAAAAAACTATAGAAATAGTTTCAAAACTTACCTCGTTTGCCCAAACTGCGTCAATACGATGGTGACTGTGCCCCCAAAGAAGTACCGGATCCACCGGATCTGTATCAATTGTCGCAGGTACTAGGGGTGGGCATTCGGTCGGTTCGATTTCGACCGAACCGAAATTATGAATACCGGGTCCCCGAATTCTCCCAAACCTCAAACCGATTTTGAACCAAATTATATTTCGGTTCGGTCGGTTTAAACCGAATTATAATTCGGTTCAGTTCAGTTTTTCACACAAAATCGAATTTGTGAAGCTACTTGTATTTTCTCACTTTTAAATTATTTTTCACCCATAATATAAACAATAAATATCAATTATTTTGCATCATCAATGATAAAACCAAACTTTTCAACACATAAGTCATAAAACATTTCAAATATTTAAGTCTAAAAACAACTACAAACTTAAAAATCCACCATTTGGAGCTTGCAATTATAGTATTTCGGTTTTTCGGTCGGAAATTCGGTTCGGTTGAAAGAACCCTGATATCCGAACTATCCATATTTTCCTTCCGAATTCCAAACCGAATAGCATTAATTCGATTTCGGTTCGGTTTCGGTTCGGATTTACCGAACCGTTTGCCCACCCCTACTAGGAACTGGAAAAAAAACAATTAATCAGAACATTAAAAAAAACTCCCCGCCGGCGGCAAGAATCCGGCCACCGTCAGCGAAAAACTCACCCCTGTAGCGGTCGCCGCCGCCGCCATGACGCTTACCTCGCCGCCCTCTGCCCCTTCTTCTGTCGGGGCCGGCGAGTTGCTCTTCGTCTGACATCTCTCCAAAAATCTCAGATCTGCTTGCTTGAGGGAAGAAGAAAGCGACGGCGGTTCTGGGCACGACGCCTTCGTCGGGAATCCGGCGCTGTCGCCTCAGACTGGGGCGTGGCCGCCTCCTTCCTAGCGCTACTGTCGCGGTCTGGTGGGAGTGGGGTTGGGGACGACGAGAAGTGGGGTGGTTGAAGGTTGTGTTGTTTTTGTTCTCGAGCGAGATATGGGGTGAGTGGCGGAGAAGAAGATAAGGAAAGAAGGGGGTTGCGAGGACGCCTGAGTCTCAGGCATTGGTGCCATTTTGAAAATTTCAAATAGCGGCAGCGACTGGGTCTCGGGCGGCCACGCTTCAGTCTCAGGCATTGGCGCTTTCAACTCGTTAGGAAAAACTCAAAAAGTGCCAGCGCCTGAGTCTCGTGCGGGGACGCTTTAACCATACAAAAAAACACAATATATGTGTCAATAGTTTTTAAACCGCCATATTGGTGATACTTTTTTTTAAAAAAGACAATATTTGTGGAATTAATCCCCTAATTAGTTTGGGAAGAAGGGTTACAGAGAAGAGAAAGAAGAAGCAGAGGATTCAGTCGAGAAGATAGAAGAAGGAAGGAATAAGAAAGGGGAAAGTTACTTTATTTTTTCGGGTTAATTGTATGGTTGGTCATCGAAATTCTCAGCACTTTTGGAAGGAAATGAGTGCTTTCCAAGCGCGTTCAGCCCGTTCTATGGGGTTCAAGAAATTGAGACCATGGGACATCGAAGAAAGTTTCCAAGCTGGCTTTGGTTAAAAAGTTTGGGCAATAAGACCAGAGCCATAAACAATGAAGTTTCATAATCAGTAACTACTAAGCATATAAGCAGAAACCCTCACAGAGAAGAGACAAACCCCCGAGCTAGGAATCTTCAGGAACCCAGAATGGTGAAAATCATAAGCACCGAAACGAAAAGCGACAGAATATTCTAACAAAGTTAACGCATAAACAGGAAAATGAAAATACAGCTACTAATGACATCAAACTAGACTAATACTCTACCCCTACACCTTCCTCCTCCTCTTCATAATCCTCATACCCTTCCTCTTCAGCCGTAGCATCCTGGTACTGCTGATACTCCGAAACCAAATCGTTCATGTTGCTCTCCGCCTCAGTGAACTCCATCTCGTCCATGCCCTCACCAGTGTACCAATGCAAGAAAGCCTTCCTCCTGAACATAGCAGTGAACTGCTCGCTCACCCTGCGGAACATCTCCTGGATCGAAGTAGAGTTGCCGATGAAAGTCGAGGCCATCTTCAACCCCGTGGGAGGGATGTCACAGACGGTGGACTTCACGTTGTTGGGGATCCACTCGACAAAGTAGGACGAGTTCTTGTTCTGGACGTTGATCATCTGCTCGTCGACTTCCTTGGTGCTCATCTTGCCACGGAACATGGCCGAGGCAGTGAGGTACCTGCCATGGCGTGGATCAGCAGCGCACATCATGTTCTTCGCATCCCACATCTGCTGGGTCAGCTCCGGGACAGTAAGGGCGCGGTACTGCTGCGACCCACGAGATGTGAGCGGAGCAAACCCGACCATGAAGAAGTGGAGCCGTGGGAATGGAATCAGGTTGACGGCAAGCTTGCGGAGATCGGAGTTGAGCTGACCAGGGAAACGCAGGCAGCAGGTGACTCCACTCATGGTGGCTGAGATCAAGTGGTTCAGGTCTCCAACTGAATCAAAACAAACAGAATGGATTAGCCAACTTCCAAGCTGAAATGACCAATTTAGTGTGATCATGATACTTACAGCTAGGAGTGGTGAGCTTGAGGGTTCGGAAGCAGATGTCATAGAGAGCCTCGTTGTCAAGAACCATACACTCATCTGCGTTCTCGACGAGCTGATGAACTGAAAGAGTCGCGTTGTAGGGTTCAACAACTGTATCAGACACCTTTGGTGATGGGAAGACAGAGAAAGTGAGCATCATACGGTCAGGGTATTCCTCTCTGATCTTGGAGATCAAGAGAGTTCCCATCCCTGAACCAGTACCACCTCCCAAGGAGTGGCACACCTGGAAACCTGCAACAGAATCCAAACCAATAGCAACAATCAGCCACCACAGTCAATCTATTGTATATCAGGAACAGCTCTAGATACAGAACGCTAATCAAACATCGGTTGCTCTTCGACAATCAATCAGCGATTAAATAGCTAACCCTAATTCAATCGAGCAAAAGCTACCAAAACAGTGAAGTTCGCAGAAAGAGGGGAAGTTACCTTGCAAGCAGTCACAGTTCTCGGCTTCCTTCCTCACAACGTCGAGAACAGAGTCGATGAGCTCGGCGCCTTCGGTGTAGTGTCCCTTGGCCCAGTTGTTGCCGGCGCCGGACTGGCCGAAGACGAAGTTGTCAGGGCGGAAAATCTGGCCGTAGGGACCAGATCTGACGCTGTCCATGGTGCCAGGCTCCAGATCCATGAGCACGGCGCGGGGGACGAACCTCCCGCAACTGGCCTCGTTGTAGTAAACATTGACCCGCTCGAGTTGGATATCGGTGCTGCCCTGGTACCTTCCGGTGCTGTCGATCTCGTGCTCGGCACAGACGACCTCCCAGAACTTGGCTCCGATCTGGTTGCCACACTGGCCGCCCTGGATGTGGAGGATCTCACGCATCTTCGCCGGTGGAAATGGATATCGCCGGAGCAGAGAAACAAAGAGTGTTTGTTAGTTGGGTGAGAAAGCTCTGCTCCGCTCTGTGAATGGGAAATGGGAGACGGCAGAACGGGGGTAATAAAGGGGGATTATATAGTAAGAGGACGGAGGAGGGGTTTGGAGCCGTTAAATGGGGCGTGTAGTGGCGACAGCCGTGACGGACGTTTGCTTCGTTTAGAGGGAATTTGAATTTTGAAATGAATTTGGGGAAATAGTCTATCCCGCTTTTTCCGCTTTTCTCGGTTTTAACGCGAGGAAAGGGTTCTTAACTTGTCTAGTGGGAGGCTCACTCGTGTTGAGTGTGACGCTATTGGGCCTTTCATTGGATATGATTCAATGGGCCGACTCTAACTGCTTAAGGCCAAGTCCAATGTTAATTCCTAAATTTTGGTATCTTCATCTTTAAATTTGGGGCATTCTCATTTTCTCTTCTTTTATTCCAATACTACATTTTTCAATTTGAAATTTATTTTTTTCAGTTTTCCAATTACTTAAAATGTACTTATAGAAGGTTTAATATAATTTGTTAATGTCAATTTTTGTATAGTTCTTCAGCATTTTTAAATACAAATTTTTCGATAGAATTTTTTTAATTTCGAGACTGATATTTTTGGCAAAAAATTATTGACCGAATTTTCCTTAACACACAACACTTGAAAATGATTAATCTAATTAAACCTCTAATTAACACCAATTGAACCTGTTTGAGTCCAACTGAGGGTAGGAGGTAAACTCGAAAAAGAGGGTGAGAAGAGTAACTACAAGAGGTATAGAAAGGAGTTATTCTTAGAGAGAGAAAGCAGTTGTTTGTAAGACTAGTAAGAGAGTGAAAAATGTGATCCCCTCACCCACCGGAGTAAATGCCGTATTTATAGGCTACATGGTGGTGGGTGAGTTACATGGTGACAAGACTGCTGTCATGTCAAACTTTCGGCCATCCTCCTACCTAGTACTAGGGGACTTGTCCATCATTGTACCTAATACTCTGATGTGACCACTCTTCGGGGGATAGGGTGTCGTTTTCGAGGCAGGCTAGGTCTGGTCAACTTTCTGCTGAAACGCCGTCGTTCGGTCGTTTGGAGTCCATGTCCACGCATGAGGCCTCCGGGCGCTTAAACTTCTCGCGTATGCGCGGCTTTGGGTACGCCTTTGCAAGAGCGGCGTCGCGCTGGCTTCTTGGCGCGCCTGGACCCGAGCCATATGCCCAACAATTGCCCCCCACCAGGTGGAATTCTTCGGATGCCGCCTGTTTGACTTCCACGAGGTTGGCTAGGGTCTGGGTTAAATCCGTGAGACTATTGGGTCCAGGGTTGATTTCTAGCGCGCTTGGTTCACATGTGATTTTTTTCTTCGTGCGTACGCCATGCCCCCCAGTCGGTGCTTGCGTGCGCTCGAGCAACATGGTTGGGTTCAAATGTGATCTTTTCTCTTCGTGCGTACGCCATGCCTCCCAGTCAGTGCTTGCATGCGCGCGAGCAACGTGGTTGGGTTCAAATGTGATTTTTTCTCTTCGAGGGTACGGCAATGCCCCCCAGGCGGTGTGCTGAACTTGTGACGTCAGCGGCTATAGGCTGCCTAGGGTAGGTGTCCACGTGTCGCTGGCTGATTGCTCTATTGAGGCGGCGCTTTTGAAATTTGAAAAATCCTGACAGTTATGATTTGACGGTTGCGATTCCCGATGCAACTTTAACTCTTCGGTTTCCTTCTATCGATTATAAGTAGCAGTCGATAATTGAGGGGAAGGTCACTTTGCTGTTTTCTGGCTTTGCTTCGTTTTCCTTGCCCTTCTCCTTTCGTTTCGTTCCTCTTCGAGATTCCTCTCCTTCTTCTACAACTTTATTTCTCTCGTGTTGTTGCTATTACCCTGAAGAGTGCCATGGCGAACATCAATGTCGACGAGATTCAGGTCATGCAAGACGAAGAACGTAATCTTTCACTCCTTTCGCATATTTCTACCGATCCTTCACTGGATCTGGCTGATTCCTGCAACGGGCGGAGCTGGTGGTGGTGGATTTCCAGCGACGCCGTCCTATGACGCCGATTCAGGGCACGATTTCGTGCCCGATCATGATTTGGAGATGAGGGAGTCTGAAGGTCGTGGAGAGAGCTCGCGCGCTCGCGAGGTTTTGATTATTCGTAGCGACCGCGCGGGTAGATCTGAGGAGGCGGAGGGTTCGATGCGCGGAAGGTCTGAAACCCAGTCTGAGCCATTGTGTGTCGAGCGCGTCTCCAAGTCGATGGCCCGACTTGGGATCCGCGGCGTGAGTGCGGTCTACACTATAATAGACTGGGCGGAGATGTGGGGCGATCAACCGGCGCCACAAGACAACCTTCTTCGGGGACCCGACCACGCGTCAGTGTACGGGCGGCGTGAAGTGACGGACATTGTGCGCGGCCTAGGGGCTCCCTCCACCTGGGAGTATGCCATCCCTTCCGCGCGGAGCAGAGTCGGCAATTGTCCAGCGGGATGGTTCGGGGTGTACATGGATTATTGGGAAATGGGTTTCAAGTTTCCCATTGATCCGTTTTTATGCGCATTGTACCGGCGCCTTAACTGCTCTGTCGGGCGTCTCTCCCCTCAGTGATTATGCACGCGTCGTGCCTCCCCCTTGTGTGCAAGCGGCTCAAGATCCAGCCTACTTATGGCTTATTCCGGAAGATTTACAAGATTAAGGAGCCCACCGAGAAGAGTGACTGCATGTCGATTAGGTGGCGCGACAAGAGGCCCGATGGCTTTGTATATGGGTCTCCGAAGTTGAGGAAGGGGTGGTTTGATCGATTCTTTTACGTTAAGCCGTTCCCCGGGGAGTGGGCTAGTGAGCACGTAGAGGAGCCCACAGTGTGGAAGAAGGGTAGCACACGCGGCTACGAGTCTGATCAGGGCAAATATGATGGGCTCCAGGAGCAGTATGACGTGTGCATGTTGCAACGCATTAACTTGTACCTTAGCGAGGTCCGCGCGGCCTGTTTGGAGGAGCTCTATGCTGATGGTTAGTTGTATTCTTTCCTTTTGCATTCTGTCATATTAACGGCCCTCTTACGACTTATTGACGCAGGTGTTGACTTCTCGAGCTTGGTGAGCATGATGTCGGTCGACGATGTTGTGAAGGTTCCGCGCGTCCCGTGTGGTGAGAGGAAGAAGAAGAAAGAAGGTGCGCGTTCTAGCAGCGCGAAGCGAAAAGAAGTGGAGCAACCGTCCACTGCTGAAAGGCCGCGGAAGAGTGCGCGGGTGACCACAGAGCCCGTGGTGGTTGTTCAACAGGTGGTGCGAGTGGATGAGGCTCCGCGCACTGAGGCTCCACGCACGGAGGCCCCGCGCGTTGAGAAAGTGACAGCTGCCAGTTCCTCTGGGGCGACCGTCCAGAAGACGCTGCCAGAGATGGGGGCAATCGACTATTTCCACGATGTGCGGATTCATACTAGCACAGCTTGGAACACCGCCTCCGCCCAGACTGCTTTACGGGTGCTCGGGCCTATACTTAGCATCCCTCCTCGCTTGGAGAAGTCAAATTCGCTGCTGGATCTCGCGCAGATTCATTTTGCGGTGAGTAATGAGTCAAACTTGTGTGTGTTGTAATGTTTGTCTTAACAATTTGACTAAGTGTACTAGCGTTGTGGGTGCAGGGTTTGCTGTCCTCCTTCCGCGCACAGCAGGAAAGGGCTAGGGCTGGCGCACGTCTGAAGGCTGACGAGTCGAAGATTGTGCAGCTGGAAGGTAGGCTCGCTGAAGCGGAGAGTCGTGCGGAGGTGGCGACGAAGAAGGCTAACGAAGCCATGGAGGAGCTGGGTGTCTTGCAAAGCAAGCTGGCGAAAGATGTGGAGGCGTAGAGGGCGCGGGTTCGGGACGAGCTCCGGGTCGAGTTCCAAGGGGAGAAGGAGAAGATGGAAGCGGATCACGCCGAGGAGCTGCGGCGTGTTCGCGAGCAGTTCCAGACAGAACGGGAGGAGTTCCAGAAGGAGAAGGAGGATCTGGTCCGCCTTCATGACGTGGCTAAGGCGGAGGCTGTGCGTGAAGCGCAGGTTGCCGCGGTCCGTGAGTATAGATCTTCTCCTTCTTTTGGGAAGATTTTGGTGGACGTGATGACAAAGACTGTGATCGCAATCCGCAAGAAGGTGCGCCCGGAAAATACTGGTTTTCGTTGGAACACTCTCGCTATGGTCGAACACGTTGAGATGTGGTTGCGCGAGAAGAGGTCACTAGAGCCCGATACCGAGTCTGAGGACGAGGAAGATGAAGAGGGGGAGGGTGAATCGTCCAAAGCTAAAGACGTGGAAACTAACGCGGCAGTTGACAAGGTAGCTGTGGACACGGCAGCAGAAGAGGGGGGAATGCAATTGTTACTGACAACGTTGTATATTCAGTATAGGTTCCGTTTCCCTTTGTTTTTTGTAATGTGTTATTTGCTATCTCGCAGTGGGAAAATCCAAAGACATGAATATTCTTCAAGTTATGTCGCGTTGCCTTTTCATATTTCACTTGTTGCATTGGTTTTTCGCGTTTAAGTTACATCGCGTTGCATTTGTGTTGTATTGCAACTCGTGGTTGCGCTATATGTCGCGCATCATATGCGGGGCTTATTTTGTAGCGCGGTTCATGACCGCGCGGTTACATGGCTACTTGGTAGCTCTATTTGTTTTGCATTGCGACTCGTGGCCGCGGGACATATCGCGCATCATATGCGTGATTATTTCGTAGCGCAGTTCATGACCGCGCGGTTACATGGCTACTTGGTAGCTCTATTTGTTTTGCATTGCAACTCGTGGTTGCGGGACATGTCACGCATCATGTGCGTGATTATTTAGTGGCGTGGTTCATGACCACGCGGTTACATGGCTACTTGGTAGCTCTATTCGTTTTGCATTGCAACTCGTGGTTGCGGGACATGTCGCGCATCATATGCGTGATTATTTCGTAGCGGGGTTCGTGACCGGTCATATACTGTGTTATTGCATGGGGGGAGGAATATCTCATAATTAAACCGGTCGTAAAGGTACATGGGCGGTGATTACAATCTCTTGTGGTACTTCCTTAAATTCTGGGCATTCCAAGTTCGTGGGATTGGCTCG